TGAATAAATGAGTTTTGTGTCGTAAATTTAAATCTGAATTAATCAAATCGTAAGTTCTAATATGAGATGATTTTTAAAAAGTTAATTTTTTTTATCAAACTGACTCAAGTTCTCAACTAATTCACGTAAGTCTCGAATTATCCTAAATAAATTATTTCTTTCACCAATGAAAAGCAAATTCTCAATAACCATTTTATTCTATACTTAACCACTAATTTTAGCATGTACAAAATTTATTTTCTTAATCAAGGAAAAAGACAGAAGATTCCTTGAAGTGGTACTTTAAAAAAAAATTAATTAATTAATGAAAGTTTGATAATGGATGTTAATTGTTATTTCTAGGAGGATTAGACCAGTAACAAGAATTGAACACAATAAAACCTAACCCTAAATCACACAGTCGTACACGTTTAACATTAAGCACGGTACTCCCTCCGTTCCATATTAGTTGATTATTTTTTATTTTCATACGCTTATTAAGATATCATAAATAAGAAGATAATTTTACTAGAAAAAACCTCTTGGAAATTTTACTGAACACTTTAAAAAGAATTAATTGGAAGGGTAATATAGAAATTTTTTAATTAATATTTTTTTATTTAGTAAAGTGGACAACTAATATGAGACAACTATTTTTAGTAAGATGGTCAACTAATATAGGACGGTGAAATATTAATTAGGTATTAGCGATATGGAACAAGAAGAGCTAAAAACGAATCATCCTTTAAAAAGCTTCCAAGGAAATAATTAATTTTATCTAAATATTACAAAAATTCACTGAAATCGCACTAAATTTTCCTTAAATATTGCAAAAAAGAAAATGAATATATATTCTGATAATTAAAACGTAATTCAACTTTGTCTAAGTATCATATTAAATGTCGATGTTGGTTCCTTGAGATGACTTTTATGATACTTAGGTTTAAATAATTTAGTAACTTTCACAACACTTAAATACAATAAATGATTATATCATTACAAAAAAATTATTTAAAAAATTTTACTACTGTAAAATGATACTAATTAAGTGATCATTTATAAATTCACCCGATAATTATATATTATCAATATATAAAATTTAAATTCTTTTAAAAATTTCATTAAACCTTAATATATATGATTATATTCTTTGGTTAATATATTGTTTTTTTCTCTTGTTAGTACTTATCCAAACTGTGGATTTGCTATTGCACCAAAGAGACGTCTCAATAAATATATAATAGATTAATTAACAATAATGGAATAAAAATAGTAATCTTAATTAATTAATATATTAATTAGGTGGGGTATAGACTCTAATTATATAATTAATTGAAGAAAATGCAAGTTTGCGGTTGCAAGTTGCTACCTATGAGATTTGGAATCACTTTTTCGATACAAAAATGTTACTAGTCAATTTTCTTATGTTTTATTAATAATATAATATAGTAAATATAATAAATGAAAAAATAATCTCTAATAAAGTAGTGGACATAGATTAGCAACAAGTGGATCAAAAGTTAATTAATAATTAGCAAATAAACCTTAACCACAACCTTAATAAGAAAAGTATATATACAACGTGACCTTTTTTTTAAAGTTTCAAATATATAGTAGTTCTTATGATTGGAAACACTTAAGAACTTTCATAGTACTTCATTACCCAAATCACCCACTCAACACCTAACCATCCCCCCCCCCCCAACCACCCCCCCCCCCCCAACCCCCAACCACCCCCCCCCCCCCAACCCCCAACCACCCCCCCCCCCCCAACCCCAACCCTCCCCCCCCCCCCAACCCCCAACCACCCCCCCCCCCCCCAACCACCCCCCCCCCCCCAACCCCCCCCCCCCCCCCCAACCCCAACCCTCCCCCCCCCCCCAACCCCAACCCTCCCCCCCCCCCCAACCCCCAACCACCCCCCCCCCCCCCCCAACCCCAACCCTCCCCCCCCCCCCAACCACCCCCCCCCCCCCCCACCCCCAACCCCCCCCCCCCCCAACCCCAACCCACCCCCCCCCCCCCAACCCCAACCCTCCCCCCCCCCCCAACCACCCCCCCCCCCCCAACCCCAACCCTCCCCCCCCCCCCAACCCCAACCCTCCCCCCCCCCCCAACCCCAACCCACCCCCCCCCCCCCCCCAACCACCCCCCTATTTAACATATGTAGATACATGTATATATGTGTATTTCCATTTTATATATTCTTATACGAGTGTATTATTCTCTAGATGTTTTTGTTGAATAAATCCACTTTTTTATATCGCTTTGTTAGAATGTGTCGTACTAATTGCGAAAAAAGAATTGTTGTTTCCTTATATTGGTCTTGATAATCTTCACCTTATGAACTATAGATTAAGTTAGATATATAATGTTTATTTTCTTAATATGATATCAGAGCTAAAACTATCTTTACTCTTGGTTACACTGGGCTACATGTTATACTTTGTGTGCTCCAAATGTCCGATTTTAAAACAGTCGAGGAGTGCTTGAGTGCTCCCGCATTAGTTGAGGAAATGAATTATTATCTCCTTATATAATTGGAAAATCTTCTCCGTAAGGCTCAAACTCTAGCTTTCAGGGTTGAATTAACACAAAGATTCATTTCCTTAACATATAACATGGAATATGATTAACATGTATATATAATTTTATTGATATATATTTGTTTTTTGCACGTATATTTAGTGTTCGATTTCAAAACACTGAATTATATCGAATTCATAAATTCATGATTAAATTTGCCATTATGCCAATATATTAATCATATGGATTTACATCGTATATCAACATATTATGATTTCGAGAGTCAAGGAGGGAGAAAAGCAATTGAGTGCAAATGTATGGTTTGGAAAGACTCCAAGAGAAATTGTCATGAATTAGGACAACCAAGAAAAATGAATATGCAATATTCAAGTGAGTGACACTACACTTATAGCGATTGAAAACGAACTTTCACTATATTTAAATAAGAATAATATGTATTGGTTTTAACAAAATTTCAAAAAATGATGATATAATACTGTTTCTCAAGTGGCCTTTTCAAGTGCACGTATTCTTATAGTTACATTGCCAACATGTTGATGTCTGAAAATAACAAAGTGAACATATACAGAGGCGAAGTTGGAATTTAAATATCATGAATTCTAAATTTATTATTGAAATTACATTACCGTTCGTTCATTTTTTGTTATTTGATTTACAATTAAATATTTATACATATTTAATGATTTTTTCAAACAAATATAGAGTGAATAAATTTTTTCAAGTTCGTCCAAATTTATACCTAATATTATAGCTCCGTCCCTGACCATACAATTGGAGTACTTCAATAATAATAATAATAATAATTCAACATATGACTAAACTGATAAGGGAACAGTTCTCCAATTTCAGACAAGAATTGGTTGATTATGAGATATTTTTTACTAGGCTGACATTAACATCCAAAGTCCATATGGAAATAAAAAAAGGGAATAAATATGAGACAAATAAAGATATTGGTAATCATAAAGAATTATACTAGTCGAGGGTCTTTCAGAAACAGTTAATCTACTTTCACGAGATAAGGATTACGTTAGCTTATACTCTATCCTTCCCAGATCCCACGTGTGAAATTACACGAAACATAGTTGTTGTAGTGTATTCAGACTCAAGAACATAACTTGCCTAGGACATATGGCTACAATAAGAATATTCTTCTACTTATAATCATTTTAATTTGTTTTATGGGTCACTATATATAGAAATAGTTTTCTATTGATGGATTTCATCATCTCAACATGAGACAAATGACTCTTAATTTGCACTAAACTAATTATATGTGTGTAATTCATTAGGAGCATGTAATCATATTTATTGATTTTCATAATATGGAATAAAGTTCCCTTTATCTCTCTTCATATATTGTTTAAAATAGTATAAAGAGAAGAAGATAAAAGAAAGGAAAGCAAACCATAAAGCTTGAGAAAACCTTATAAGACTTTGATTAAGTAGTAAGAGCACAATATATGATATATGAAATTCAACTCATGTCATAAGTTTGAATTCTGACGTAAACAAAAATATGATATTTAAGTGAAGAAGAGTACTTGTCCCTTGATATTTCTCGATTATCCAAAAAAAAGAAGAAGGAAAACAAAGGTTTATGGTGCTCTAAGACTTTAGAGCACACCTTCCACTAAAAATATTTCAGTAACACAACTAATAAGAGTCCTATAGTAAAATATATGTGGTGTATGAGTCAGCTAGCTAGCGTAAATTCATCTTATTCTTTTTTTAACGGTAAAATATGAGTCAACTTATGCACCACACCTTGATTAAATTATAATATTCTTGCTACCTTCGATCAACACAGATATCATGTCTCTCATTTCAATAGCTTTTTGCCTATGAACAATAAAGTTTTGTTGTATTGTGACAATTTATTTAGCTAATGGCTAGTTGATTAAAAAGGTAATACGCAAGCATTTAGGTAGTAAGATGTTAAAGTAAACAATATGGACAATTACAATTCTTCTCTATGGGTCCCTTTAACCTCAATTTAAGTGGATTTCGACTCATCATTATTTTTTTTAAAAATAAAATAAATAAATCATCATTAACATGTTTGTAAATAATTTCCAACTTTACAAATTAACCTAGATTTCGTCATCCACCAAAAGATAATTGTTCTCAAATTGGATACTCTCTTCTTATAAGATTGACTTTCAACTTATGTTGTTTGGACTTTTCAAAAGTATTGTTTGATACTACTGTATATCAAATCCTTCGAAAGAAATGCATTTCAGGAAAATTCAACAGAGATGTAACAACATTTTTAAAGAGTCTGAACAACTACATAATGCTAGAAATTTCATGACATGCATGTACGGAATGGGACACATGCATATACATCATATATCGATTCATCATGGAACCAATCAAAGTTATTGCATATATGTTGCTCGGATCCTCCAAAAATACAACAAATAAACAAGTCTCTCCTTATAACATAATAGTAGTAACACATGCCACTCACCACAACATACAACTAGAGACATTTTTGGAGAATCCGAGCAACATATTAGTAGTAACACTAACACATGCCACTCACCACAGAATACAACCAGAGACATTTTTGGAGAATCCGAGCAACATGGTAGTAATAATACATGCCACTCACCATAGAGTACAAGCAAAGACATTTTTGGAGAATCCGAGCAACATAGTAGTAGTAACACATACCACTCACCACACACCACGCGTCTAACGCCTTTTTTCGATGTGCTTCCTAAATTGATGTTCTGTTTTTCTGCTTATGTAAGCTTCCCCTGAATCTTGACCCACTCTTCTCCTATAAAAACCCCTCATTACTCAACCAATGTTCTCCTACAATCTCAACTTTATCTACAAAAACAAAAATTTCTTCAAAGCAAACATACAAGTACTTAACTATGATTCCATCAGAAACTGCAGCAACTCACTATTTTTCTTCTGAAAATCCTTCACTTCTGCCTCTTGACTTCAATTTCATGCAAAACAGTTCACCATCACTCCACTTTAGTAGATACTTAACTAATATTCTACCAAACTATCCTGTTAACGACTTCAATAATCTATTACCTTCTTGCATCAGTAGTAACTCTACCTCTGATGAAACGGATGAGCAACAATTTAAGATCATCGACGAGAGAAAGAAGAGGAGGATGATATCTAATCGAGAATCAGCAAGAAGATCAAGGATGAGGAAACAAAGACAACTTGATGAGTTATGGTCACAAGTTCTTCGTCTTAGGACGGAGAATCATAATTTGATTGATAAACTAAATCATGTCTCGGAATGTCATGACAAAGTCCTTCAAGAGAATTCACAGTTAAAGGAAGAAACTTCAGACCTTCGTCAGATGCTTACTGATCTCCAGTTTAATAGTCCTTTCCCTGATTTATGTGACCTCGAAGATGTTCCTTGCACCACTGCTCATCTCAAGGCTGAATCGTCGAACCTATCCATCACTCATTCAACAAATTTGCTTCACTGAAAAGAGAGACAGAGAGAGAGGTGTTTTGTCTGTTTACTTTTCTTCATGTTTGTTTGTTTTTTACATGAATGCCAAATGAGTCTTTATTTCATATCTAAATGTTAAGACAATATGTTTTTATGCATAGACTCCTTAATCCTCGCGTTAATTCTATAACACAAGAGGGAGTCACTCGGATGGTAAGCATCCCTCACGGCTCCAACTCTAGCCTAAGGTTGTGAGTTCGAATCATCAAGGGAGGATCCAGGGAGGGGTAAAAAAAAAGAAAAAAGAAAACGTTCGGATAAGATTCATTTGAACATGAAATCAACAGTAGCCCCATGATATAACAAAATCAAAATCATTAGAACAATCAAATGATGTGATCAGCAAAATCCTTAACAGGAAAGGGAACACGAAATAATTTAGTGTGGGGGAGGGAGTAGAGAAAACGAAAGCAGCACTACGAACATTTACTTTATTTATTTTCATTTTCAACATCGCGGAGAATAGTATATGCAGCGAGTGGTCTCAGTAAATTGAGCTCAGCAAAAGACAGGCCCCATGATCAGACCTGTTTTCGACATATTAGCACAAGCATTTAGACAAATAGAAGTGGAGAGTGCTGGTGATAGTGGTTCATTATAAAAGTAAGTACTATAAGAAGCAAAAACACTTGAAAAGGAGACTCCACTATGATAAACTTACTGTTTTAAACTTTTTTGAGGACAGAGGTTATCAAGTATTTCAGGTGTTACCGGACGTTTTTGACTTTTATATATCAACATACATAAGCATTTGCAACTCAGATATTTCAGTCATATGTTCTCTCTCTTTATCTCTCTCTCCTCGTGTTCGTGGAGAACATAAAATGAACCTAAGGCCTAACTTAGAAGGCTTATGTTGCTCATACACTTCAAAAATGATGATGGTGTGTGTCGGTTCCTCCAAATATAGTATATTTTTGGAGGATCCGACAAGGGTGATTCAACATTTTTGGTAGAGTCCGAGAAACATAGATATTAACTACATTTCTTGGATGCCAATGGAAGGAAAGAAGTGGCTCAAGGACAAAACTTGAGCTCTGAACAGAACAAATTAGTTTAAGAGATTGGGTAGTTCTAAGGTTGACAACTACTTATATAAAAAAGAACTATTTGTGACATTAGTTTTACAGGTCAAAGGAGAAGGAACAAATGCTTGTGGCTTATACTTTAAGAAGCTCATATGTATTGTCATTCGTCACCCTCCCTCAATCTTGCATCTATTGAAAGATGAAACAATATCTACCTCAGCCATTCCTTCGCCGTCATCTACAGTGAGTTCAAAATTGACATGATTCTACTTTAAAATTGATAACACCTATACTTTTACCATTTTAATCAACTTCCATATCTACCTAATACAGACGTCAAAACTCCAAGGCCAAAAAAATGATTACAAAGAAGAACCAAAGAGTGAGTAATAGGCAGTATTGTTGTCTGTGCTTCATATTGATACCTGCCACATAAAAGAAAGTACTCTTCAGTTTGTTGATATATTATATGTTTTACAATTAGGAATGATTTAATTGTGTACTTAGATACACACTTACCAAAAAAAGTGGCAGAAAAATCACCATTTATATTAATATTGATTTGTCGACCCTCATTTGAAAGCAAATGATAATCTTTTCGGCCTCTTTTGGAAAAAAATAGTATGTCCTGCAAAAAACAAATTAAATTAGATTTCGTATCAAAAAAATAAACAAAGAAAATATTAACTATGGAGATTGCAAAGGAAAAACAATCTCTCATGTCACCATAATCTTGGACCTTTCAAGTGAGATTATGGTGGAAATTCTTTCGAGATTACCAATCAAGTCCATTTTTTGTTGTAAGTTTGTAAACTGTGGTATAATCTTTTAACTTCTGACCCATTATTTTCTAACATGTATCACAAAAGAACATCATCTAATTTTCCCAGCCTTTTGCTTTCGATTGATAACTATGTCCAGTTTCTTCTAGAACTCAAACCAGATGATCCTTACCCCCTAAAGAGCACCACTGTGTTGAGCCCTAAGTTTCATCTTCCTTCATCCCGCATGAGATTGATTGGTTCATGTAATGGGTTTGTTTGTTCGTTGAAAGGTTGGATGTATGACTTAAATCATTCGGTTTACATTAGCAATCCTCTTTTGGGTGAGTATCTCAAGGTTAAATTGCCTAAACGGGAGAAAAGAACTTGTGTTGCTTATGCATTCTGCTTTAGTGAAGCCTCTAGACAGTATAAAGTATTAAGATCAGCAGTTAGTAATTTTGCCAGACATTCAAAAGTACCAGAATTGGAGGTTTATACTCTTGGAGTTGATGAAAAATGGAGATATGTGGGTGAGGCTCCAGAACCTCTATGTGTATCATTTAGTAAGGCTAACATCAATGGTGTTGTTCATTGGATGAATTCGGGAAAAAATGACAACAATTACTCCTTTAACAGTTCGACAGAAGAGGTGAAGTCCTTGTTAGCTCCTTGGACAGAAGAGGTGAAGTCCCTGTTAGCTCCGCGTGGTCTGAAAACTCCATCCTACAACTTGATACCTGCCACATAAAAGAAAGTACTTTTCAGTTTGTTGATATATCCTTTACAATTAGGAATGATTTAATTGTGTACTTTGATACAAACTTACCAAAAAAAAGTGGCAGTAAAATCACCATCTATATCAATTTTGATTTGTCGACCCTCATTTGAAAGCAAATGACCATCTTTTCCGCCTCTTTCGGAAAAAAAAAGTATGTCCTGCAAAAAGCAAATTAAATTAGATTTCGTATCAAAAAAATAAACAAAGAAAATATTAAACTTACACTTTGTTCCAAGCGAATGAATAGAACTCAGCATTTTCTTCGTTCCCTACTATAACTTGGTTAAACCTTTGCCAGAGAGGTTCACCAATCACAAATGATATATCTTGTCTCACTGATTCTATTTTCAGTATTTGATGTTTATCTCTACAAAAAAACAAAAATATTGTCATTTGAAAAGAAAATAACTGGACTCTATTGATTTTAGCTATAAGATTTTACCTTAACGTGTCGGGGTTAATGCAGCAGTAAGTATCCAAAATGCGATACATAAAGTCTATAGGGTCTTCGAAGTTGACACATTCATAGAACTCTAGTGATACCAACTCAACTTCATCCAGCAATTGAATAATCTCACCATAAGCTCTTTCAATTCTTCTTGAGGAGGAAATGTCTTTCATCTCTGGAAAAACAGTACTGCCTATAATGTACAAGTTGAAGATTCTAATGTTAGTTCCCAAAAGGAACAAAGGTGCAAGGATGGTGATTAAAGTAGAGGGAAATTGAAGATTCTAACTAAGGGGCATACTATAACTAATGTTTTTCACTTAACTCAGTTCAAGTTTAACTCACTGTCTGTGGCAAAATTAACCAGTGAACAACATTGTTCTGCTTCCTTTTTTTTTCCTGGGGTCTAATTCTAGCATATTGGGGGCTAATCCAGCCTGTTCATGTTTTTGAATTCTACATTACAACACAAACACATTTGAACTTCAATTCATCTCCAATTTCGGTGAAATTTAAGATTCAAAAACGCCAAAGAAACACGATCATTCTTCCTCCTGTTTAAGTCTTAAATTCTACATTGCAACAGAAACACATTTGAACTTCAATTTATCTCCGATTTCTATGAAATTTTAGATTCGAAAATGCAAATAAACAGCTCATTCTTCCTCCTGTTTAAGTTCTTAAATTCTACATTGCAACAGAAACACATTTGAACTTCAATTCATCTCCAATTTCGGTGAAATTTAAGATTCAAAAAAGCAAAGAAACAGATCATTCTTCCTCCTGTTCAAGTTCTTAAATTCTACATTACAACACAAACACATTTGAACTTCAATTTATCTCCGATTTCTATGAAATTTTAGATTCTAAAATGCAAAGAAACAACTCATTCATCCTCCTTTTCAAGTTCTTTAACTCTAATTTACAACACTAACGCATTTGAACTTCATTTTGTCTCCAATTTCGGTGAAATTTAAGATATTAAAATGCAAAGAAACAGATCATTCTTCCTCCTGTTCAAGTTCTTAAATTCTACATTTCAACACAAACGCATTTGAACTTCAATTCATCTCCAATTTCTATGAAATTTAAGATTCGAAAAAGCAAAGAAACTGCGCATTCTTCCTCCTGTTCAAATTCTTAAATTCTACATTGCAACACACACGCATTTGAACTTCAATTCATCTCCAATTTCTATGAAATTTAAGATTCGAAAAAGCAAAGAAACTGCGCATTCTTCCTCCTGTTCAAGTTCTTAAATTCTACATTGCAACACAAACGCATTTGAACTTCAATTCATCTCCGATTTCTATGAAATTTAAGATTCAAAAAAGCAAAGAAACAGTTCATTTTTCCTCCTGTTCAAGTTTTTGAATTCTACATTACAACACAAACACATTTGAACTTCATTTTATCCCCAATTTCTATGAAAGTTTAGATTCAAAAATGCAAATAAACAGCTCATTCTTCCTCCTGTTCATGTTTTTGAATTCTACTTTACAACACAAACACATTTGAACTTCATTTTATCCCCAATTTCTATGAAAGTTTAGATTCAAAAATGCAAATAAACAGCTCATTCTTCCTCCTATTCAAGTTCTTCAACTCTACATTACAACACAAATGCATTTGAACTTCATTTTATCCCCAATTTCGGTGAAATTTTAGATTCGAAAATGCAAATAAACAGCTCATTCTTCCTCCTATTCAAGTTCTTCAACTCTAATTTACAACACAAACGCATTTGAACTTCATTTTATCTCCAATTCGGTGAAATGTTAGATTCTAAAATGCAAAGAACTGCAACAGCAACAAAAAAAAGAAGCTGACCTGACATTTCTTCAATTTCTATGCGACCTGTAAATTGCAGAAGAAAAGGAATGTGAAAATTGAATCAAAAAGTGAACAGAACTCAAACTGTAAAAGAAAGTGAGAGATTACCAAATGTTGAATGCTTTAGGAATGAAGAAGAAGACGAACGAGTAGTTAGTTATATAGAAGTAGTTAGTCTGTTTTTTTTCTTTCCCAATTCACCCTTTGATTTTGGGAAACGAGTAAAAAAATACCCCTAATCTATAATAATGACTCAAAAATACCCTACTTTTACTTTTTAGTCTAAAAATACCCTTCACAATGATTTTTCATTCAAATGTACCCCCTCCTCTTACTTTTTGATTTAAAAATACTCTCAACCCCAATTTAATTAAATTATATTCTTTTACTGATTTGTTAATTCTTTTATTTGTTTTAAAAGATATTTTTTTCCTATTATCTCAATGATGGGCTCTCGAAGATGGAGCGATTCACTTTAGCTTGAATAAAGTTTGAATTTAAATAGGAAGTTTTCAAGAAAAATTTAATTATATTTCATAGCTATAGTTTGCATATGTATGGGTTGTAGCTATAGTTTAAGCTGTCTCGTTTGTATAATTCGCAGGTTGTATAACTCGCGGGTGAGGTTGTATAATTCGTGGGTATGCTTGTATAATTGAGCTATTTTTGTATAAACGCGAAATAACAAATTTATACTAACACAAACACCTAAACTTTAAACAATTATACAAATTATATTACACAAAACTACATTATACAAAAGTTATACAAATTATATTATACAATTATACAAACGTGTGAATTATACAAACTCGAAACTCCAGCCCACGTAATTATCGTTGAATGTTGGTCGCGAGTGGTTATATATATATATATATTTGTTTAACCATATAATTTTCCCAATTTAAATCATCATCATTGGCTTGCTTGGTCACTTTCGTGATGAGGTGCTTAAAATAATTCTGAATTATATATATTTTGGAAGTTTAAAGAATGGTTGGTTGAAGGGAAAGGTAAGCTAGAAAATTCATGAATCGATGTCTCCCTAACAATTAGACTTCCAAAGAAGAGGAGTCTGATTGCCATTAAACCCTTTATAGAAATCAAGGAAATATTCAATCCAATTTCAATACTGGGTAGGATTCACCAGCCGCTAGACATAACATACAGTATTCGACGACTTTCTTATATTCTAGCTCCACCCCTATCACCACTATAGTATTGTCACTGCTTCAACAAGATTATTACCAATACATCTAAAAAATTGGATTTGTTGAGTTGTAGGAATGTATTTGAATTGCACGCATATAACCTAATTTTCTCTAGTTCATATTAAGTGAATTATTGAGATTTTTTTATAGTCTAAACTTTAAAGTAAGTGAATTTTTCAAAGTTTAAGAAAATTGTTGGCCCTATTTTTTTTCTTCATATTTACCCTTCTTTTTATCGAGGTTCTTTACTATAGTTAATATTTTCTTAAGAAAATAGTTTGGGAATAATCAAAACGGTAATTAAAACGGCAATAAGTGTTTCAGTTTCCAATATTTCTGATTTCCTAATTTTTTTATTTTTGTGAATTTATAACATTATTTAAATTTTCTTCTTTTGTTAAAGGAAATGCAAGATTAAAAGCAGTGCATATTTCAGTGGAAATTAAACCCAACATCTTATTATTATGATATATCAGGACTCAAGCTCAATATTTTAATTAACCTTTTATTGCTATGGAAATCATTGACATAACAGACCAAGTGCAACATGACTCACCTTGAGTCTTTAAGAATTTAATAAAAATCATGAAATATAATCACTTCTGAAGCAAAATTCCTTATGAGAAATGAATAGAAATGTGGCTGGCCATGCTTTCAATCTAACTAGAGAGCTCTCTATTCATTATTGTAGGGGAAAAGGGTTTGATATACTCATTAAGTTTGTTATGTAGAGCTTATATATCCCTCGCTATGAAATGGGCTCATACATATCCCTACTGTTATACAATGACTCACATATATCATTTTCCTCTAACGTGAAAAATATAATTTTAAATTATTTTTTTTGAAAAAAAATAATTCATGTAGGAGTATATTTGATCCTTCTCACACTTTTTTCTTTTGACTAATTTTATTTATCCACTAATTTGAATTTATTATTTTGATGTTCAAATTTATTTTTTTCCACTTATTTTCTTATAAAATTTTACTATAGATGCCCCAAATATTTTTTCTACAGATATAAGAACTAAATTATAATAGACTAGTAAAATTACAACTTTTCGGCTATTGTAATTTAGTTTTTGTAGTTGTTAAAAAAAAGTTGGGACATCTATAATAAATTTTACAAGAAAATTATTGAAACATGAATAAATTTGATCATCAAATTAATAAATTTAAATTAGTCGTTGAAACAAAAAAAAAATACGTGAGAGGAGGATCAAATATACCCATATGGATCTAATTTTTTCACTTTCATTAGAGGAAAAGGGTATATGTGAGACATTTGTATAACAGTGGGGTATATATGAGTCACTTTAATAACGAGAGATATATCAGCTCTAAATGACAAAGTTAAGGGATATATCAGACTCTTTCCCCTTCTTTTTATTATAAAAACTAAGATAATAATAAAAAAAAAAATTTATGTAGAAAAAGATCAAACACATGTTTTTTAAAAAATAAAAAATAAATTTAAGATTATTTTTTTAATTTTGTAATTGTAGGGGTATATGTGAGTCATTTTGTAATGGTAGCATATTTTAGACACTTTTATAACAAAGATATATCAGCTTTAAATAACAAAATTAAAGAGTATATCATGCCATTTTTCCCTTATTGCAGTCAAACAGTATTATGTTTCGTGGAGTATAAAATATTCAATCAGTAATAGTAGTATATGCTCTTGGGTTTCTTTTGCAAGCTAAATACTGTATGAATCAGATTTAAGGCATTAACATCAACAAAACTCTGTTTACTATTAAACTTATATAAATTGTCTACTATTCTTAAAACTAAACGTCAATAATAAATGATAATGGAATAATGTTTTCAACAAACCTGCTAACATATCTTGGCCAAAAATGATAGGCGAACACCAAATATGTTGAGGTCAGGCTTGATGTTGCAAGAATATATTTTTCATTCTCTCTTCTTTTTTCAATGTTTTCTGCTTCAAGAACTACAAATTTCTCCTTCATCAAATCCGGATCGGAATCAAATTTTGTAAAAACCTTGTTTACCTCGTCGTATACCACCAAATTGCAGTTTTCAGGTTGGTCACGTGGGTACACAATCAACTTTCCCCACAATGCACTTTGAATTTCGCTTACTCGACTTCTTTCTGGAGGTGAAAGAGTTCCAAACTTCTCCTCTGTTAAGTTGAAATAGGTGATAGAATTAAACTTAGGATTAGCCCAATAAAGTACTCCATTGACGAAGGTACGACCAGAACTCAGATTGTTAAGTCTACCAGGGCTATTTTCACATAATCTTCTCCATGAATTATTAGTTCCTAGAGTTAGAATCTTTATACATGGCCTTTTCTTGTAGTAAATACGATCGCGAAGCAATTTGTATCTTTCTGTGGCCGGATCATAGCCTAGATACAATTCTGGACGATCCCCTATTCGTGTATATCCCAATGAGAATGGCAAGGCTTTTATTTCCCCTGTTGTGATGTTATACAAGAAACCTTGACTATCTTTACCGTTATACAGACAAACAAGGCCATTGCAATGATTTGAGCAAATAAAAATCTCTCCATAATCAAAATAATTACGAGAACCCACAAGTTGTAAAGGGAATAGTTCTAGTGGTGGTTGGTTATAAGTAACCCTTCTTGTAGCGTTCAAGTAGTGTTGGGGAATATGAGGTGTTTTTAAACCTATTTCATATAAAAGGCGGGTGGCTAGAGGACGGTCTCTAGAACGAGCAATGTGCAACTTGACAAAGTTGAAATCATGTAGTATCAAACTATTCCAAGCTTTAGAAACACATTTGAATCGCATTAGAGACTTAGCTGCAACCCATGTTAATATCTCGAACACCATGTCATCTACAAAGCCATGCGCCACCGCGTCCTCCTTCGTCGTAGTGCTAATTCGACATCGTTTTCGATTACTTTGGGTATCTTCCAAGGATGAGGGAGGGCGTTTTTTGCCTTCCATGTTATTGCTATGGCTATGGAGAAGACAAAAAAAAAAGAGAAGGAAAATATTAAATTAATTTCGAAAAATAATACATAACTAGTATTGAATAAAGAATGATATATAATCTAAGGCGTATTCTGATTTATTATTCTCCTAATCAAAATCTAATTCCTCAAACACACGGTTATCTCCAGGTTATTATATTATAATTAATTAATACGTACTTTCACTTTATAATAAATAACTTTGTTTTAATGAATACAATATCGAAATAAAATTGGATTATTACCATAAACATATTCGAAATAAAATAGGCGTTGATTATTACTTGACCCTTTGTCCTAATAGATTCAGAAAAGGAATATGTATTATACTTTTAGGATTGGGAGAACCTTTTTGTTATAGGTTTGGGATTATTTGGAATCTATTTATATAGGGATGTAATTGGGGATTTCTAAAGCATTAAACACTTTTATTTTTTCGGAAAACTCTCTCTGCTTTGCTTGGAAGATTAGGCCTAACTGAACCTCGTTAAAACTCGCAACCTTTTTGTTCAAAGAAAGTGACAGTCATGGACCCCGGAAGCTCTATGCTTTTCAAGGGAGATTGCAAAGAAAGAACAATCTCTTATGTCACCGAAATCATGGACCTTTCGAGGGAGATTATGTTGGAAATTCTTTCGAGATTATCAATCAAGTCCATTTTTTATTGTAAGACGGTTTGTAAATTGTGGTATAGTCTTTTAACTTCCGACCCATTATTTGTTGACATGTATCACAAAAGATCATCATCTAATTTTTCCCAGCCTTTTGCTTTCGGTTAATGGCTTTAACCATTTTTTTGTGGAACTCAAAGCTATTGATTCTCAACCCCTAACGAGAACCATTGCGTTGAGCCCTATGTTTCATCTCCCTTCACCCGGAATGATATTAATTGGTTCTTGTAATGGGTTCGTTTGTTTTTTGAAAGGTTGGAATTATGGCCTAGTCCATTCGCTTTACACCTCTTTTGAGTGAGTATTACAAGGTTAAAATGCCTAAACAGGAGAAAAAAATGTGTGGTGCTTATGCATTCTGCTTTAGTGAAGCCTCTGGACAGTATAAAGTATTGAGATTAGGATATGGTAAGTTTGACGGACGTCTAAAAGCAACAGAATTGGAGGTTTACACTCTTGGAGTTGATGAAAAATGGAACTATGTGGGCGAGGTTCCAAAACCTCTATGGAGATCATTTAGTAATGCTAACGTCAATGGTTTTGTTCATTGGATGAATTCGGAAAAAAATGACAGCATTTACTCGTTCAACAGTTTGACAGAAGAGGTGAAGTCCCTGTTAGCTCCGCGTGGTCTGATACCTCCATCCTACAATTTGACGCTAGCAGAGTTTTTTGAATTGTCTATGTTTGTGTGATAGTAACAATAGTGAGTATATTGATATATGGGGAATGAAAGAGTATGGAATAGCTGAATCTTGGACTAAAACTCGCATTTTGAAGGATACTATTCAACCAAATATTCGTAGTGATAGATTTATACCAATCTCAACTTGGAAAGATGGAGAAATATTGATGCAACAGGATCGTGGCATGCAAGTAGTTTCTTACAACCCTAAAGAAAAGAAGTTTACGAAGGTTAAAGTGTACTTTGGATATGCAGCGACAAGGTACATCCCAAGTTTTTACTCAGTCAAGACTGTCATTGGGGAAAGTTCTCAAGTCTCATACACTCATCCGAAGATTGCTAAGGTTTAGATATTTAATTAGTCTTATTTCCTCGTGGATATTATGTTTTTCTTCTATGGTTCTCATGTAATCTAGCTTAAGACCTGTCAACTTTTAATGTTTTATGGATGCTTTTAATTTATGTCAGATTTGCATTCCTTTTGTTCAATTCACTATGTACTTTTCTGAATAGAACGAACTAAGGAACAAAATGTTGGCCTATCAGTAAAAATAATAGCAACAGAGTAAACATAGACGACTTCGAGCACAAGATGTTTCTGCAATTTTGTAACGTAAGTGATTGACACTATCTTCTCGAGATTGACATTGTCTTAAGTCATGGAATTAGACTCATACCCAAGACTGATAAATAGGAAGACATAACGAGAAAAAAGGTAATTCAAAAGGCATGATTTATTGAAATTTCAAAAATTGATCTGATATACATACAATTACAGAAAAATGCATATGAAGAATGAACAGAAAGGAAGGCAATTAATATTGAGATCATTAATAAATAGAAAGGTTCAAGATCATACTAAAGTATCGGAATTGGAGGTTTATACTCTTGGAGTTGGTGTGGAATGGAGATATGTAGGTGAAATTCCATGTCCTGTATGGGTATAATTTTGGCGAGATTAATGTCAATGGTGTTGTTCATTGGATGGATCGCGAAGAAAATGACAAAATTTACTGGCAATCCTACTTTTGATGAATATGTCAAAATTTGAAAGCCTCAATGGGTAAATAGTGTTTGGTTGTATTATTTCACCTTTTGATTAATGTCTCTCAAATGTTTTTCTAAGGAAAAGTAGTTTTTTGAGTGATTGTCTTTACATACAAAAGAAACTCAATTTATAGGACAGAATTTTTGCAAGAAAAGACTTTTAATTAGATTGTATTTATTATAGGTTCATCAATTTAAACAAAAAGTATCATCCAAAAAACCTATAACATAGAATTAAAACAAAAATGAATGTTACAATTGACATTCATGTATTTTGTATATTTCAAAACTTTTAACGGATGAATTTGCATGTTTCAAAATTAATTGAAACACTAATTCTTACAATCCCCCACTTGTTTCAAGAAATTTTATCTTTGAAAAATCTAAAAATACTTTGAGACATTAATCTAGCAACATTCATCAATGATGGTGTCTTTTAAATCATTGACTACTTAGTGAACGAAACTTGAACTAAGTGGTTCATTGAATGAAATAGAAAAATACTCCACGCATATCACTATGTTCCGGTGAAAATCAAAATTCTTTGATACCTTACTGCCATATGTCTGGAATCCTCTTAGCTAAGTGCTTTAAGATCTCCCTGTTAAAATCTTATTGAAACGGTCTTCACTTCGCACTTAGTGCGGTGAATTCATCAAGAGTAACTTTGCATACTCCGACCAAATAGTCTATGAATTTCATTGAGAGAAATTAATCTCATCCTCCTTTACAACAAAGTATCGATAAATTTAACAATATTCCTACTAAAGAGAAGGATGAGATTATATTCTCTTAATAAGTCAATAAATCGATTTCGATTGGAGTGTGTAGGAATACTCTTGAAACAAATGGGAAATTGTAAGAGGAAGTATTTCAATTAATTTTGAAACAAATCCATTCATTAAAAGTTTTGAAATATACAAAATACGTGAATGTGAATTATAACATTCATTTTAAATTTAATTCTATGTTATAAATTTTTCGAAAGATGCTTTTTTCTTTTCAATTCATGAATCTATAATAAATACTTAAACAATTTCAATGCTAAGCACATTAATGGACAATAACATATATCTAGAAGTTTTAGAACATATCTTTACTTTCTTTGGTTTGTAAACAAAAAACTGCTAGCTATAAATTGGGAATAGATACAATAGAATCTCAAGAAAGATAAAAGAATTATATATTCTTCGAGTCTCCAAAGTGATACCTTATAGATATAGGTTCACTCCAACGGATAGCTAACGGCTAGTTAGACTTTCATTATTTACTAAATACTAAGTCGGTGTAAGAAATAATATTAGGAAAAAAATTTAATATTAGCTAACGGCTAGATAAATTTCAATAATTACTTTCAATTAGTCATTTTAGAGGATCACACTATATATGAAAGTCCAATCAATCCATAAGACCTAAACCTTATAAACTAGCTCCCTTTTTGTTCAAACGAAGTAACAATCATGGATGTTCAAAGCTCTAAGCTTTTCAAGGAAGATTCTGAAGGAAGTACAATCTCTCATGTCACGAGGATTATGGACCTTCATATAGTGATTATGGTTGACATTTTTTCACGATTGCCAATCAAGTCAATTTTCCGTTGTAAGATTGTTTGTAAGCTCTGGTATCATATTTTAACTTCCGACCCTTTGTTTTGTAAAATGTATTACAAAAGATCATCTTATTTTCCCAGCATTTTGCTTTCGATAAATCACTCAGTCCGGTTACTTGTGGAACTCAAAGATGATTTTTCTCACCCCCTAAATAGAACCATTGTGTTGAGCCCTAGGTTTCACCTCCCCCCAACTTTATATACACAAAACTTGACATTAATTAGTTCATGTAATGGGTTCATTTGTTTGTTTAATGGTTCGATGAATAACGTATTAGAGCATTCGGTTTACATTAGCAATCCTCTTTTGGGTGAATATTTCGAGGTTAAATTACCCAAATGGGAGAAAAGAATTAAGTGTGTTGCTTATGCATTTTGCTTCAGTGAAACCTCTGGACAGTATAAAGTATTGAGATCAGTAGTTAGTAAGTTTGAGGGACGTCCACATGTATCAGAGTTGGAGGTTTATACTCTTGGAGTTGATGAGAAATGGAGAAATGTGGGTGAAGTGCCAGAACCTCTATGTGGATCATTTTGTAAAGCTAACGTCAATGGTTTTGTTCATTGGATGAATTCGGAAAAAAATGACAGCATTTACTCCTTGAACAGTTGGACAGAAGAGGTGAAGTCCCTATTAGCTCCGCGCGGTCTGACAACTTCATCCTACGGCTTGACACTAGTAGAGTTGGGGAATTGTCTATGTTTGTGTGATACTTATCATAGTGAGTATGTTGATATATGGTGGATGAAAGAGTATGGAATTGCTGAATCTTGGACTAAAGATCGCATTTGGAAGGATACTATTCAACCAGATATCAGTTGTGATAGATTTATACCAATCTCAACTTGGAAAGATGGAGAAATATTGATGCAAAGGTATCATGGCACACATGTAGTTTCTTACAATCCAAAAGAAAAGAAGTTTACGAAGGTTAAAGTGTACCTTGGATTTGCAGGGACTAGCTACATCCCAAGTTTTTACTCACTCAAGACTGTCATTGGGGAAAGTTTACAAGTCTCATATGCTTATCCGAAGGTTGAGATAGTTTAAATATTTAATTTGTCTTATTTCCTCCTGGATATTATGTTTTGCTTCTATGTGTCATCTAGCTTAAGACCCGTCAACTTTTACTGTTTTATGAATGCTTTTGAGTTATGGTATGTCAACTTTTACTGTTTAATGGATGTTTTTGAGTTATGGTAGTACAACTCTGTCTATTTGCAATGTGAAGTCTCGAAAGTTGCATTCATTTTATTCGATTCATTCTGCACTTGTCTGAATAGAACGAACTAAGGAACAAAATGTTCGCCTATCAATAAAAATAATAGGAACAGAAAAAACTAGACATGCTTGAAAGACACTTGAAAGAGTTAAAGAATCAACTGGAAGCCTAGAAAATACATCATAGATAGTCTCTTTAGGTATTAAAAATTGTTGTGTTACTCTTTAAAACAAATAAGGCCTAATTAGTATTGAATAAGGAATGATAATTAATAGCCCTTATAATAAGATGTATTTTAATTTGTTTGTCTCCTGATTCCTTTTTTTTTCTGCTCAAACACACGTCATCTCTCCAGGTTGTGAATTGTGATATATGTTTAAATTATAAATACAACTATTTCACGGAATTATAATTAATTAATACATACATACTTTCAGTTATACTTACACTCTTAATAATTCTATTGTTTCATATGTATCGTATTATATTGTTTGAATGAATACAACATTTGCATAGTTGAATGATAAACTTACTCGAAATAAAATAGGATTATTATGATAAACGTATTCGAAATAAAATAGGTGTTGATTATTTCTTGAATTTTTTCCCCAATTTAGGAAATTCATAATCCCTATTGGTTTAGGAAACTCTTTGTCCTAATAGATTCGGGAAAGGAATATATTGTTCTTTTAGGATTGAGAAAACTTTTTTCTTATAGGTTTGGGATTACTCGGGATCTATATTTAGGGACGTAGTTGGGATTCTAAATCATTGTATGTTTTTTTTTTCTTTCATAGTAGAAAATTTTCTCTGCTTTTGCTTTTTTGTTCAAAGGAATTGACAGTCATGGACCCTCGAAGCTCTAAGCTTTTAAAGGGAGATTGCAAAGGAAGAACAATCTCTCATGTCACCATGATCATGGACCTTTCGAGTGAGATTATGTCGGAAATTCTTTCGAGATTACCAATCAAGTCCATTTTTTGTTGTAAGACGGTTTGTAAACTGTGGTATAATCTTTTAACTTCCGACCCATTATTTTCTAACATGTATCACAAAAGAACATCGTCTAATTTTCCCAGCCTTTTGCTTTCGATTGGTGACTATGTCCAGTTTCTTGTGGAACTCAAACCAGATGATCCTTCCCCCCTAAAGAGCACCACTGTGTTGAGCCCTAAGTTTCATCTTCCTTCACCCAACATGAGATTAATTGGTTCATGTAATGGGTTTGTTTGTTTGTTGAAAGGTTGGATGTTTGACTTAGACCATTCGGTTTACATTAGCAATCCTCCTTTGGGTGAGTATTTCAAACTTAAATTGCCTAAACAGGAGAAAAGAACTCGTGTTGCTTATGCATTCTGCTTTAGTGAAGCCTCTAGACAGTATAAAGTATTGAGATCAGCAGTTAGACATCAAAAAGTAGCAGAATTGAAGGTTTATACTCTTGGAGTTGATGAAAAATGGAGATATGTGG